AGCGAGAGGCGAGCTGCTGGGAGTCGGGCTTCAACTATCGATTTGGGGGCACACAACACGCAGTCCCTGACACACGTACACCGTCAAAAATGCTGGCCTCGCTCTTCCCGGGACATCAGAGTCTACCTGAGACCAAACTCTAGAGGAGACAAACCGTCTCATTTGTGCCCCCCCTCCCTGCTTTCAGGTGCCCGTGACCGTGAAGCCTTCGTGGAGGGGGTCCCTGGGAGCTAGGTGTTTCTGCACTCGGGGATCGCGGGGTGGGGGTTTCAAGTGAAGGGAAAAGAGAATGAGCCATCACTTCTACAGTTTTTTTTGGTAGAAGATGCAAAGTGTCAGAGGCCTCCCTAAATGTAAACCCTCGGGCAGCAGGCAGTGAGCAGGTGTTCCCTGTCGTTTGCAAGGGGCGTTTTAGCATTTTCATAGAGCAGCTAAGGCGATTATCTGTGCTTCTTACACTCACGCCTGCCCGGACTTGGTCACATACCATCACTGTCTCAGAGTTCTCCCTGCAGCTGGAAAAATAACCCGGCTCCTCGAACTATTCAGAGCACACATTTCCTGCCAATAGTACATCTGTGAAGTGGTCCTGTCTTTCCACCCTTTCTCCTTATCTCGGTCCTGCTTCCAATCACACCGTGTGCCGGCCGGCCTCCAGCAGCCAGGTTTGCTCTCGTCCCCTGCCCATCCCCTCTGGACGGGGGAGTGAGCAGCAGCGGCGGGCAGGGCGGCATCTGGAATAACCAGTAACAGCTGTGGGAATGAATCATCCTCCTCAGGGAGGCGTCTGCCTGCATCCAAGCAGAGAGGCCTGTCAGGAAGGCGGCCCTCTGCCCTGCCAGGACACCACGAGTCGGAGCTTCCCCACGCTGCCGTCTGTTTGCCACAGTGCCTGGAATTCCACCATTAGTTTCAGCAACCGGCTGGCAAAGTGTTAGAGAGACGGCCACCGGGGTCCCAGAGGCAGGGCCGGGGCGCCTGTCCTGCGGTTCTCCGTCACCTCACAGGGTGTCTCCGTCGGGGACCGGGCTCACAAACTCTTTGGGAAGACAGATTCGTTCCGCAGACACGTGACATTCTGCCGTGTCACAGGCACTTTGGGAGGGGCAGCAGAAAGAGAAGGAGCCCTGTGCTGATCTTCAACTAAAAGCCATTCACAAACTCGGGGACTTGTGCGTAGGTAACAAACTCAGCCCCTGCAGAGCCAGGGGGGCACGAAGTTGCAAAGTCACGTCACGAAGTCCGAGGGGCTGTGCTGAGGCAGGGGCTTCCCCAGGTGCCGTCTCTCTCTCCTTCGACGCATCGCCGTAGAAGGCCGGTGCAGTCATCCCCATCTTAGAGATGGAGAAATTGAGGCTCAGACAGGTATTTGGCAGAGGCTTTGTGTGAGCCCCGTGGTCCACCTCGGGGTGAGTGGGTGCATGGTGACAGCGCCCCACTTCAGGTGCACCCCACTCCATTGCCTCTGGGCTTTTTTCCGAAGCTATTGAATCTGTCACCCCCAGGTCTGCAGAGGTGCCCCAGGGCAACCTTCTGCCATGGGGGACGGCCTTGCTGTTTGCCAAACTCTCTCAGTAGATTTTTTAAAAATGGGGCAGAGCTACGGAGAGGGCAGCAGCTGTTAGCTGAGGTGTCTGATGGGTAATGGAGGGGTTGGTCACCATCTTGGATTTTTGGGGATTATACTGAAAAAAATAGAGCCCTGTTTCACCAACGAGTGACCTGAGGCTTTAATGAACATAGCCATAAACCCAGTTTATTAATAATAATCCAGTAATTAACATTAGACACACAAATTAATGATAGAGACTTAACAAAAGGCAAACAATCTTGGTTGTCTGAATCTCAAGTCCATCTCAGACAATGGGGGCTGGTAGCGGATAATCTCAGGTGAGTTTTTTTCTTTTGATACCCAGTTTCTCTATCTGTAAAAAGGGGATAATAATGCGGGCCCTATAACATTCATTCATTCACCATTCATCCAACCAATAGCCATTGAGCCCTTACTCGAAACCAGACGTGATTGCTTCCAACGGTGAACAAGATGGGTAGGATTCTCTCTGTTGTGTTTTCATTCTGCTGGGGATGTGAGACAACTTTTGAGAAGAAGAACTGAAACGGCACTTGCAGAGGGAGAACTCCACAGCTCAGGACACTGGAGACCGTGTAATCCTTACCCCAAGCACTTATTGTGGTGTCTCTGTGATTCCTCAGAAAAGCATTTCGGGAGCCCACACCTCCTTCCAGAAGCACTGACCTGGCACGGAACGCCCATCGCCCATCACTGACATCTCTAGTGAACATAACCTCGCGTTCGTCTCACGCCTTTCTTCCTCTCCCCTATGCCTCCGTGAAATGTTGATGAAGACAGGAATGTGTTTTGGACCACTGCAAAACTCTGACACATTTGCGAGGGTCAGGGACCACGTGCCCATCTCTTTGCTTTGTGAACAGCATCCACGGATCCATCACATCCCCAAAGAAGGACAAGGAGACTGACTCCATCCAAATCCTTGCTTAAGAAGAAACTGAACCTACAACGAAAAGGCCAGAGAGGGAGGTAACGAGCATTTATTTGAGATCCAAAAGAGCAGCTATTCAGGCAGCACAGATTCAGGCAGAAATTCGGGGAAGTACCCCAAAATGGTGCTCCAATTAGGAGGCCAAGGCCAGGGGGACCCAGGAGAAATGGAAGGGAAACAGTTATATTAATAGAGGAACGGCATTTCTATTGGTGCAGATAAGCTAATATGATGGCGGTCATTCTACAGAATGTTCTTCATTTCCAGTCTGGTAATCGTGGTATTTTCTCTCTCGTTACCCTTGCAAACTGTTGTTAGGGATAAATGCTGCTCCAGGTCCAGTCTGAAGCCATTCTGCCCTGTTTTAACCTCCAAAGGCTTGAGGACTAGAGTGTGCAGGGCAGTGCTCCAGGATGGCAGCCCCAACTCCATTTTAAAGCGGATCCGTTCACATCAGTGTTGCCAGTTCTTACACTAGAACCATCCCATTGTTTTACCTCATCGCATGGACGGAATTTGTCTGTTTTTATTTCTTCCCTGGAGTGCATCAATATGTATTTTCATTTCCCCCCAATTTCAGCTGAGTTATCTGTCAGGGCCCCCAGCCTCTCATAATCTGGAAGTAATTGTCTTTTAGTTACCCCCTTATCTTCCAGATCGTGGACTTTAACATACTTTGGCTGATGTCCTTAAATTATATCATATCACATGTAATATTATAACTTCTCTGGTAATAAATTATCTTTGATCTGAAAAAACAATCGGGTTGTGCTTTTTTGGAATGCAGCATTTGTTGTGTGCAACTGTTTTGAAAAACCACATGGGACCAAGTTTCCAATAGCCCAGAATCTTTCTGCTGTGAATATCAAAGCAAGTTCAAAGATGCTAATTAAATGTCAAGAATGCATGTTTAAATACCGCTCACTACTCCACAAGCATGGGAGGCGGAAATCCATGGGACTCAGGACAGTGTACTGGACCTATATATACAGTAACTTCAGCGGGGAATCATAATACCCAGAAGCCCTTCCCACCCTGTGGCTTCATCCTCACTTACTGCGAGTCCTTCACATACTGTGCAATCCAGGCTTTTTTTATCTGGTGGCTTTTCCCACTCCTTCCCTCTAACATGCTGATAACACTGTTGATAGCAATGTCTCTTATTATAGAGCTCCTCACATTCATGACATTCCGCAAATATTTTCTTACAATCTCTGGGCCAGAAGATGATAAGACCATTCCACATTTAAAACTGAGCTTCGTGAGTTATGTCCGCAAATGAGTTCAGACTTATCCAAGTGTTATTTTGAAGGCAAAGAAACAACTGAAATGAGGTTTTTTTTCTTGTTTTAAGAGCGGATATTCAAATCTCCCCTGAGACCTGTTACAGTCTTGTTCAAATCAGCCAGATGGTAAAGCGGGCGAGGGGGTGTGCAATTTTAGCGGCCTGGGGCGCCCTTCAGAAGGACCAGCCCGGCCCCACAGTTGGGACGGCGCTCTTTTCTGCCTGTGAAAACTTGCCGCCCCTCCTCGGCTTGCTTTGCAAACATCCAGCTGCTGAGAGTTCTGATTTCTGAGATTCCGAAACAAACCTTGTCCCTTTACTTGTGTCCCCAGAGAAAGGAAAGGCCACGCGGCGTCTTGGGGACAACCTCTTCACCAGAGGTAGCAAAACGCAGCGCCGGTGCGTGGCCCTGCGCCTCGGCACCGCCTTCTCCACCGACGGCATTTGGGGCTGCCGGGCAGTTCATTTCCCTCGTGTCCCTTTAGGACCGGGGACTAATTTTCTTTTCACCCCCTGTCAGGAGTCCAGGCTCCCCGGGTCGTCCCCTCGGCCTCCTCTGTCACCTCGCGGACGCTGGCCCGGCGTCCGGGCGGCTCAGAGAAAGGACGCGGGTGGTTCCTCGGGAGAAGGGGCAGGGGGAGCACGGGGCGTCGGGCGCCTGGTCCTGGGAGGCCCGGCTCTCGAAGGCACATCAGCCGGGGAAAGAGTTTCCTTTGTCAAACCAGTGACCACGTGGCGCCATGGCGGTCACCGCCAACAATCCGGTCCGACCGCCGGGCGCGGACTTGGGGACGCGCCAGCCACCTCCCGAGCTGGCCGAGGGCAGCCTCGAGAGGTCGGGAGGGCGGATCCCGACGACCAGCTGGAGCCGCGGGGGTGTAGCCGGCGAGAGTCGGTGGGCGGGGTTCCCGGGACGCGGAAGGTGGTGGGCGGGGCAGCGAGAGGCCGGGGGAGGGGAGCAGGAGGCGGGGCTCCGGGGAAGGGGGCGGGGCGCGGGGCGGAGCTCCGGGGAAGGGGCGCACCGAGGTTGGGGCCTGCCGGGTAGGGGGCACGGGGGACGGACTTTCGGGGGTGGAGGACGCGGGGGGCGGGGCTCCCCGGACGTTCCTCGGGTGGGGTCGGGGCGGAGCGAGGGCGGGACGGCCGCGGGGCGGTGCGCGGGGCCGCGGGGGCGGGGGGCGCGGGGAGGGAGGGGCGGGCAGGGAGCGGCGGGCCGGCCGGGCATGGCGTCCATGGCGGCGGCGATCGCAGCCTCGCGCTCGGTCGTCATGAGCGGGAACCGGCCTCTGGACGAGCGGGAGCGAAAACGCTTCACCTACTTCTCGTCGCTGAGCCCCATGGCCAGGAAGATCATGCAGGACAAGGAGAAGATCCGCGAGAAGTACGGGCCCGAGTGGGCGCGGCTGCCGCCCGCGCAGCAGGACGAGATCATCGACCGGTGCCTGGTGGGGCCGAGCGCCCCGCCGCCCCGCGGCCCCGGGGACCCCGAGGAGCTCGCGCGCTTTCCCGGCCTGCGCGGGCCCACAGGCCAGAAAGTGGTGCGCTTCGGGGACGAGGTAGGCGCGGGCCGGGCCGGGTCCCTCGCCCCTCCCCGAGCCCCAGGCGCCCGTGTCCGGCGGGCACCTGCGGGCTGGGAGCCTCCCCTTCGGTCGCGGTAGTGTAGTGGGGGCTGGAGAGGAGAGGACGCGAGATGGGAGGGGGTGCCCCGGAGCCGAAGGTCGGGGTGGGGGCTTTCCGGGAGTTTGGGAGAATTCCGAGAGGAGGAGGTCCTGCTCCGCCGGGCGCCACCGGATCTGGAGACCCCCGGGAGCTGAAGGCAGCTGCGCTTAGGCGAGGCCGACCGAAGTGGAAGGAGCAGAAACTGTAAGCCAGACCAGTGGGTTCTAATCCACTCTGCCACTTAGTGTGTGGCCGCGAGTGAGTTAACCCCTTAGAGGCTGGGTTCCCCGCGGTGTAGCCCGGGGCTAATAATATCCACCCGTGCATGCACTCAGGAAATTATATATACATATCAATATTCGTGAGCTGTCTGGGGACAGTGAAATTGCCAAGCAAGATAACAAGAAGGAAGAGGTGGCTTCCAAGATAAGGAGGCGAAACCCAGAGCTCTAAGATGTTTCCTGAGTGAGCATGATGTACCAGCTTTGTTTTGAGGTAAACGTGGTGGCCCGTTTTCCCACCGAAAAACTAAGGGGTGAGTTTCAGTGAGCTCCAGCAAGACTTGGTCCAATAACTTGCTCTTTCTGTCGGAAATATGTTTAACTAAAAGCTGCTTAGTGCCATTAGATTTTGCTCTGTTCCTATTTGGCCTTTCAAACTCAACTTTTGCCGTGAGGGACAAAGTCAGAAGGAGCAAGAAGTGTAGGAGAGAAATCCCCACTCTGTTAATTGAGGCTGTGAGGTGGCAGGGAGGAGGGGCTGGGCTTGGAGCGTTTTTCCAAGGAAGTTTGGACTGTGGAAGGAATTCCCGGGGAGAATGAAGTTTGAATCTGATTTTCAGGCCTGGGTGTCCTGAGACATTTATTAATACAAAATGTTTCTGGTCATAAACCCACGTTAATGGGAGGGAGGTATGAAGGACAGAAATATGCTGCCAATATTGATTTATTCCTGCAAAATCAAAAGGAGAGTCTCCATTACACTTTCAACTCTGAAGGCTTTGCCAGGAAAAAGAAGGTGTGGTGAGCTGGAGAGATGGCAGTAGAGGTTTCAGATGTATTCCTAGAGATGAAATATTTCCAGTGTGGAAATACACATTTCTCTAAAGACCAGGCAGCCCTGGCCCGTGTGGCTTGGTTGGGGGTTGTCCCACAAAATGAAAGGTCCCCCGTGCAGTTTCTGGTTGTGGCTTTGGTCCCCACTTGGGGCATGGATGAGAGGCAACCGATTGATGTTTCTCAACCCTTTCTCCCTCCCTTCCCCTCTCTCTAAAAATAAATAAATACAATCTTTTAAAAAGAAAGATGTTTGCAGGGTTTGAGCTCAGATCGGGGGGATGGAAATGCAGGCAGCCCCTCTTTGGAAAAGTCATGAAGAGACAACTCTGAGAGGAAATAGACCTGGAAGTGCTGCGCTTACAGATGTTGGTGGGCGAGCGTCAGTTTTCCCTAGTTCCATGTCTGGCTAAGAATGCCCATAGGCCTGCTCACCACCAAAAAGCCCAGGCCATGTATGGGCCCACTGCCACTGATAACGGTGATCATTTAGTACTCTTTTTTTAAAATTGATTTTAGAGAGAGAGAGAGAGAGGAAGGGGAAGAGAGAAGGAAAGAGAGGGAAACATTGATTTGTTGTTCCACTTATTTATGCACGCATTGGTTGCTTGTATGTGCCCTGACTGTGGATCAAACCCATTACCTTGGTGTATCAGGATGATGCTCTAGCCAGCTGAGCTACTCGGCCAGGGCTCATTGAGTGCTCTTACTTTCCTTCATTAGGTGCCAGGTGCCAGACTGAGCTGTTTGTGAATTTGTATATCCAGTATGATTTAAATGCGAACTGCACTGTTCTCTGTGGTGCCTGCGTGCCTTTCCAGAGCAGACCAGCCCTGTTTTCCAGAGTTGAGGTCAGCTTTGCAAAACGAGCTGAGAGCACACTTATTAATGCCTCTGCCCACCCTCAGCACAGATGCAGAGAGACTGAGGTGCTGAATCTGAGGAGCGGTACATGGGACACTGTCCGGGTGTTTTGTCTGCACTGGCTGTGTGGTTTAATGGCACCAGGGAGTTTTTTAATGCATCCCCTGGCCCTGGCTGTTGTGGCTCAGTGGATCGAATGGCAGCCTGTGAAGGAAAGGGTTGCCGGTTCGATTCCGAATCAGAGCACATGCCTGGGTTGCAGGCCAGGTCCCCAGTAGGGGGCGCATGTGAGGCAACCACATATTGATGTTTCTCTTCCTCTTTTTCTCCCTTCCTCTCTAAAAATAAATAAATAAAATCTTAAAAAAAAATAAATAAAATGCATCCACTGGACCTGTCAAAACGTTGGTACCAAAGGGGAGTTGGTGGTCTTTGCCCAAGTTGGAGGACCATCCATGGAGGACAATTGGTCCCCGGACACAAAAGGTGATGGATAAGGACAAGGTGGGGGCGATCCCTGGGTGGGATGCTGGACAGAGTGACCCTCATAGGTGGCCCCAAGCTCATCCAAAAGGGCCCTGTGTCAGATTGACTAGGGCACTCTGTCCCTTCCCACTTGATCTGTCATCTGATGTGGTCCCCGGGGCCTCCACAGCCAACCACAGAGTGGAGAGCGCTCCCCTGGGTGCTCCGGGTGAGCCACATCTCTTGCTCTAGCCACTGTCTGGCCTTCCATGACAGTATCAGATGGAAGGCCGGACGGCATGCAGAGTTGCCGGACCTTTCCCAAAGCTGTAATAGAAAGAGCCTGGACTTGGTGGCCCCCATCGACCACCATCAAGATGCTGGTGGTACATGTCTAACTCCTCTGAGCTTCAGTTTCCTCACCTCTATAATGGGGACCATGTTGAATAGTAGAGATAATGTACATGAAAGGGCTGTGGGCTTAAAAAATGGTTGTTGCTGCTGATGGTGAGAATATTAATAGTATTAGCTAATCTCTCCCTTTCCGCTTGCAGCAAGCACGGACTGACGTGAGATAAATCAATCCCTGCCGTGGCTCGGCCTCGGAAAGGAGCTCTGCCGGGGTGGGCTCGGCTGACGTGCCTGGCGGCACATCGTTGAAGCCTCGGCGTGCTCTGTCCAGTGCGGCGTGGCCTGCCTCCCGGTCCCCAGCCACGCAGGCCTCAGCGTGTGCCCCCTGTCAGCTGCCCTGAGGACAAGGACATTGCCTGTTTCTCTGAATGTCCCCCTCCCCCATCACCAGTCACGATGTGTTTCATGTGGCAGCTTTTAAGTGAAATTGCAAATACAGCTTCTGATGGGACCATCACCTAATCATTTGTAGGTTTGGCAGGACCAATAGTATAAATTGATTGTATGTGGATGGTCATAGCCCTTGGTTGCTGTGAGTGTGGTCAGGGCGCAGTTCACACACTGAAGTTGCCTCTTCGTCGGCCAGGTGCGTCTGCGGGCTGGGGTTTGCCTGGCGGCTGTAGAGGCGGAAGATCAGGGCCCAGACCACCCTTGCTGGACCACTAGCCCAGTGCGGAGGGAGGCTGGCTGCCTTGGGGCACTGAGGCCATGAGGGGACCTGTCGATTTTTCAGTTTTCACGTCCTTGGGAATCCAGTGAGCAAATGTTTCTCGCAGCCTATTCCAGTGGAAACTAGACGTGGTCTAGCTTTCACCAGCTCCTGTAAAAATCCCCCATAGGAACGTAGGATCTCAACAGAGCTTCCGGGTGGGGCCACCAGCCCCTCTGCCCTGATCCTCTCTGCTGTGCGGAGAATCTGGCACTGCTGCCCTCAGGGGGCCCCTGGCAGCCAAAGAAGCATTGCAGCTGGAGCCCCACCCCCGGAACCCAGTCCAGGCCACGCAGACAGCCAGCGGGGCAGCAAGCACTGCCTTCGAGGGGCGTCTGTCCCCCTGAGGGATGAGCGGTTGGTTCCAAGGTTTCTCAGGCTCTCGGGGCTGCCCTGGAGTGGAAACAGACCTCGGTCAGGTGTCTGGTAGAACAGGAAGGCACGTTTGCACGCAGATGCTCACAGTGGTCTGTCCTGACCTTGGCTTCTCCTTGCCACCCTCTTCTTCCAGTGTGAAAGTGTCAGGCACGGTTTGCTCAGAGGTGGGAGGTTCACATTTTAGAAGGGTTTAGTGGTCATCCCATTCTGCTTCTGCTGCCTCGTGGGATCCCGTAGGGAGGAAGAAAACAACCCTGAATTTTTAGGAATGTGTGGCTCTCTACTCCCTGCCCTCCTCCCCCAAACTCCTTGCTACTACAGGATCTGGTGAGACTTAGTTACAGGGCTCTGAGCTCTGGCCACGTTCTTGGTGCCACACAGGCCACAAGCAGGTGACCCGGCAGTTTGGGCTGTTGGTGCAAATGCTTCTCGTGGACTGACTTGCCTCTTCCGAGCTTGCTGTCATGCAGCGGGGTCTGCGCGCCGTGATCTGGATTTTGCATGCGGGGGACACTGTGTCAAGGCTCCGGCCCGAGAGCTCTGCCCTCTCCTCTTCGGCAGCTTAGCGTGGCCTTGTTTGTTTCTTGAAATAAACTGAGTTAATATAAAATGTATAAAATGATGTTCCTGTATGTTCCTGAGGAAAGGCTCAGACAGTGCAGAAGCAGCCTGAGGAAGCAGTTGCTAGTGTCCTTCCAGAACTTTCCTTCCTCAGTAAGTCTTTGTTCCATCCGAGTTTGGTGGCTTCCTGATGTGCAGGACCTGTATTTTGGAACCTGCGAGGTCGTGCCCCCCCCCCCCCCCAGCCCGCGGCTCCACCTTTTCCTTTTTCAGCCCTTGGCAGAAACACAGAAGAGAAATTTGAGAGTTACTTTTCAGGATTCTAGAATTGTGTGGTTTTTTTTTAAAGGAAGGTGGACTGTATAATTATGGTCCCCACCTCTGTCTGGCAGATTGGTGTGTTTGTTAGAAAAGATGACAGGGTGGATGTGGCCTTTCGTGTCCCTGCAGCTGG